AACGCACCTTGTCCTGAGTCCATTTTATACATAATTATTTCCAAAGTCGGACCGTGGACGCGGTACATTATTTGTATTATTGCAGTTATTTAGGTCTATTATTTCGCCCTATTTAATTCATTTTATGTCAGGTGATGCTGGTCTTCCGAGCCCGAGGGGCCCATTATGGTTAAAGAACTTCGACTTTCGGTATGTACAGAATTCTGTAGCTCTATACTTTCTTTTTTAGTATATTTTAATCTCTCACTCTAAAGCTTTGTTGATGCCCTATTCTGCAAAAATAGTTATACTCTTGCCGACAATTTTGTCTTGTGTAAGAATGCTTTAATAATAAGTCCTAATTTCTTTAACATCAGTGATATTTATAATGATGTTAAATAATTAATTTCTTATTTTATTTTGATCTATTCAAATGATTACGGCTGGGTTCCTTAGCCAATGAGGTCTCATTTGTGAAGAGATCGAGTTATTTTCTCTTTCGAAAATCCCGACAGCCTTACTTTGGCCTTGGCTACTGCGTCCCAGATGCGCCAGTTTTTTGTCGCCACCGGCTGTCTCGTTTCGAGACAGACTTTCGGGCGCTTTCGGCGTGACAAAGTAGAGCTGTGCCGGACTGCTTTCACTCTCTTGGCCAGCGCGTGAGATGGACAACGACTGCACCTTGACAATGTAGAAGGTGTCGGGCAGGAGCTTCCGTAGAACCAGCCAATTCTGACGCTGAATGAGGGATGGGGAGAAGAGGAGAGAAAAAAAAGGTCACCATATTTGTCGGAAGTCGTGCCCTCCAGAACGTGCTTTCACGAACCAACTCAGTCAGGCCCCTAGCGACGCTGAGTTGGAAGCATCCTGCATGCCTTGTTACGAGCCTGATCCCACTTGATCGCCAACCTGCCAGTACAACTGCCCCATTCACCCCTCGGACCTGTCTGTGCATACATGTGCATTTTGTCCGCAAGTGCATACAGTCGGCTTCATTCCTCAACGCAATCGGCCAGTTTAGGGCCAGCACATGCACACAACCTCGTGTGGGCACTATCGCAAATAACTAACTGGCCTGGCTGTCTACTTTCACCCTCACGGGGTCAAGAAAGCGTGCGCCATGACAACAAAGCAGACTTACAAGATGTTCGTCATTTTGATAATTCCCATCCCGGGGAAACGGCACTTTCTTAGACTGTCTTGTTTTCACGAAGCTACAAGGCGAGTGACGATAAAATAGGGGCACTCTTCTACCATCAATTCATCCCTCCAGTCCTGAGAAGATCGTCGTTGTATGTGTGTCTGGGCGCTCGAATTAAAATGGGTCTGTATCATTGTCTCCCTCTACAATCAGCCCATCAAGAAAATAATATCCTTAATTGACTGTTGCACCGAGTGTGTACAGCAAATGCCATAAAATCAAGTCGTTCACATTTCTGTGGGTTGTAGCAGTGCTTTTGGCTTGAGACTAACGAACAATCCTGTTTAAGGCAGTTGTACCAGACATTCTTATTCACCCTCTGTGATACCTTCGTGAGGATACTTTCGCCCAGGCTGTGTTGAGATGTGTTGTCCGGCTGTCATATACAGCCCGGCCGAACAGATTATTAATTTCACAAAGTCGCTCGGCCAATCGAACAACACACGAGCAAAGTGCAATTGGTGCACCGTCGATCTCCTCATACAGTCAGCACAAGCATTGGTACCAAGATGAAGTGACCTTTATCTGGATCACAGTCTAGACTTGGTTTAAACTCGATTAAGGTGACTTCAAAGAAGGCAGACCAGAAAAAATGGGTTTCAATTGTATTCGAAGTAGTGATACATCCCAACTGTTCGGCAAAGCTCGCCAAGGGACGGAGTTCACTGGTCTCCTAGGCAACGTGTAACTCGAAGCTGCTCACTTGCATTGCCCGATACTCGAGGAAGACCTGGTGGAGGCAGTAAAGTGTGTATAGAAGATGTATTCACCCCATTTTGTTCAAGAGGATAAAGGAAAGGCTGGTTGAATTTTCCCACATTCATATGAGTAGACCTTACCTTTACATTGAATTTAACACAGTTTTGCTTTCCAAAAGTTATTCCCATCCAGACTGAAGATGACTGCAGTTTTAACCTCACCTCGGTCTCATCAGCTCCTTCAACGGGACTCGAACCATGACAGTTCAGCGGATAGCCTCGATACATTAAGCATTACGCCACATTGTCATTAATGATCTTGGGCAACAGGGCAGATGCGAATTTTAAAGAAGCCCAAGTGAAATTTTTGGTGGGATTGTTGATTGGGCAAAATTGCATTTATAAAAGTGGGTTGATCTCGTTGTCGCAACTTGGTCCTGTTGTCAAGGCGAATTAGTAGAACGCACCTAGTTGCGACAACAAGGTCAACCCACTTTTGTAAATCGAAAAGAGATTGCGACCATACCAGAGGTCACACCATCATATCTTGAAAATTGTATTTGCTATAGCAATTGAGTAAATTACTTATTTTTCGTATCATAAGTAGGCATTTCGAGACTACCAGTAGATCCGATATAAAAGTCATATTCACCCAATTTCGTTTCAAGTAATGAGGGGACCTAAAACGAAATAGGGTGAATACATCTCCTATATATGCTCTACTGACAGTCTCGAAAACCTGCTTATAAACGAAAAAATAAGTACAGGGTATATTCTTAGTGTCATACCTGATGTCTTGACTGACTTCCATTTTGTGTGAGTTTATGTGATGAGGGAAGTCGTGGGTGAATCTTAGCAAAAGACAATGACAGATTTTCGATGGTCTGCCCTCATCTGATTTTACTATTACTTTCATGTTGACGTATTCCTCGAGACAGCCTCCATCATTCTGGCTCTCATGTCAGTCAGCATACATCATCACAGCCGAACCTAATTATTGTAACACCCTTAAGTGAACACCATGTTGAGAGCCTAATCGACTCTTGCATAAATGTAGGCTACGCTAAAAAATAACGAATTTTTGGAAACATATAATGCGGCGATTAGTCCATATTCATGTCAACTTGAGTGCATTTGGTGTATGTGCTCATTCATAATTCTGAGAAATACAACAAAGTGTACCATCTGTCCAATTAAGTCAAGGTTTAATGGCAGATTATATGAGATTTATTCACCCTATTTCGTTTAAGTTTTAATTTTCCTTTAATGCTATGAAAAGACTTTACAGTTCCATTGAATTTCACATTGCCTTGCTTTCCAAAAGGTATTCTCATTCAGGCAGGACTGCAGTTTCGACCTCGCCTCGGTTTTATCAGCACCTTTAGCGTGACTCGAAGCATGGCAGTGCGGCGTATAGTCTCGACATGTCACCAAATACGCCACATTGCCACAAGTGCCCTTTGATCACAGGCCAGATGTGACTTTGAAGGAAAGCACACACTTCTTGGCGGGATTGTCGAGGAAGCAAAGTTATACTTGCTATAACAATCGAGAACATTAATCATTTTTCGCTCATACGTAGGATTTTGAGACTATCCTTCATCAACTTAGAAGAAATAGGGTAAACACATATTTTGGGAGTTTATGAATCTCTTGTATGAAATCGGAAGTACAAAGGGTGAGAAAATGTGCGAGCCCGACAGCTTCCTAATTGCAGCTGTTATATGAATGGGCCACATCTCTACTGATATTCGTCAAGTAGTAGCGCTGCAATAGAAAGTTCAGCGCCTTGTTTCGACAACTAAAATGATATAGAAGTGGGTTGACCTCGTTGTCGCAACTTGGTTTTGTTGTCAGGGCACCTAGTCCGAGGTCGTT